TTGAGGTGCTTAAAAACTAAATGTGATGTTATAACGTTAAAAGTTCAATTGAACACTATTACGAATATGCTTGAACAAAAGAGGAATGCTAATGCTGTCAATTCTTATCATGTAATTTGTGACTTGTGTGGAGGTTATCATGATACTCATACATGTATCCAAGCATAAACTGTGGATTATTATGATGAATTTGGGCATTATAATTCTTGTTTTGATCAATGTAACCCTAATTGAGATAGTTCTTATGCTTACGGTTGGGATAATCAATGTGTATATAGTGATTTTTCATGTCTTCATGATTACCAATCTGAATGTGTCCAATATGAATCAAAACCATCTTGAGAATTGGCAATAGAAAGATTAGCTAATGCATATTTACCTTGGGAATTAGAAGTGAACCATTAGCTAATAATCCTAATGCATCTTGAGAGTTAGTTATAGAAAAATTTTCTAATCAATTTGATTTAATTATAGAAAAGCTAGCTAATGCGACCTCCGATCGTTTTGCTAGAATTGAGGAAAGATTAGATGAATTATCTTCTCACTTTGGTAGAATACAAGAGCAATTGCATAAGTTGTGTGAAGTTATTTTTTCTAACGATATGCACTATGACCCTATCATGAATGGTGATTATGTTACAAGTGAAAGTGGATTACATTTTGATGAAAATGATGAATCTCAATTGTGTTTCAATGAGAAAATGTCCATTTCAGATGATAATACCTTCAGAGCTAATCTTGAACCTCAAGAAGTGAGCCTTAACAACTCATTTTTAACCTCTCTTGAGGAATGTATTGTGAATATAGGTTTTAAAGGTATTATTGCCCAAGACAGACATACAAACATTCCTTTGGTGAGTGTTCAAGTGATATACGTTCAAGGTAATATCTATGAAATACTTGAGATAAGTAAGTCACTTCCACATCTCATATCACTAGAACACATGCCTTTTGTTGTTAAGCCACCTTTTAATGATCCACCATGACCTATAATGGTAGATTATTCGTTAACAAAACCTCCTTGAAAAGTGAGGTAAAATAGTCAAGCTAATGACTATAAAGAATCGCTTGTTGGGAGGCAACCCAACGATTCTAGTTTTTTTAGTAGGTTTTAGTTATTTGATTAGTATTTTTGTATGTTTTGTAGGTAACAATGACAAGAAGTCATGCAAATTATTTCAAGTACAAAAGAGCTTATAAGAAGTGGAGACTGCCGTGAAAAAGGGAAGCTTAACCTTTATTTTTGAGTTAACAATGTTTAATTTCATGATATGAGATTAAGTTAGTCATTTGTATGAAGTTGAAGTGCATTTAAGTGATTAAGTATGTTCATGATCTATTTGCACTATTTTGAACCATTTGAACACCATCATATGCATTGGAAGTGTCGAGGGGACTATTTGATCCAAGAACATGAACCCTAAATTTGCATTCTACATGTTTCTTATTTGTTTTGAGGTGTTGAGATTCATGTTTAAGTCACTTTTCATGTGCGTAAAGTGCTGAATTGTTGAACATTTCGTTGTAGAGCACAAATTGAAGATTGTGTTTTGAATTGGGGTCAAATTGAAAATTGTAGAAAATTCTGCAATAAGTGCAGATTCAATGGATCCGAGACCTGGGATCTACTTCTGCAATCAGAGAACAAATTTGATTTTTTTTATCTGAGTTCAATCATCATGATCCGACCTCGGATCCTTTCAAAAATAATTCAAAAACGAAAGCTCGGTTCACTTTTCCTTATTCTTCCCTCTCTTCCTCCTTCAACTCCACACACACACGCATACCTCAAACACACACTACTCACTAAATTCCTCTTTTCACCATCAAATCTTCAAACTAACTTCACCAAAACACTCCTCTTACCTTCTAGAGTGGTTTTCATGGTTTAATTCTTTCAAAAACATCTCCAAATTTGAATTTAAGATTCAAGTAGGTAGGGTTTCATCTTCTCATATTTTGCAATTGTGCCCAAATTGGAGTGAGTTTCTTGAGGGTTTTCACATCATTTTCATCTCTAATCGTCAACAAACCATTTTGAGGTAACAAATCTTCACCTAACTGTAGACACCAAATTTTTGTCAATTTTCAATGTTTTCTTGAATTTTTTTTCTATTTAATGAATTATTTATTTTCTTGCATTTTAATGTGCATTTTTCTCATTTTTTGCGGGTTTGTTTAAAAAAAAAGGGGAAGAAAGAAAAAACAAAACACAAAAAAAAACAACAAAAACTAAAAAAAAAGGAGGAAAATTAAGAAAATAAAAAAAATCATTCTAATCATTTTTTTTCCACCAAAATACATTTAACCCATTTCACACTCAATGGCCATGGACTTGTCTTTTCATTAGTTGAGAAATCATCATTTTGGAAAATTCAACACACAAGCTCCATTTTTGGCTACAAGTCCCTCTCGGCTCTCTCTTGAAAAAAAAGGAGAAAAAAAAACACACAACTATAAAGGGGAGGCTCTCGGCTCTCTCTCTCTGGTCTCGACCAAAAAGAAGGAGAGAAGCCACAAAAGTAAATTTTTCCCTCCCTCTCTCGGCGGACTCAAAACGGACAGAAAAAAAAAAGAAGGGGGGACACTCTCTCGGCCTTTTCTTTTGCTCTGAACAAAACCAAGACTCCAATTTTTTTTCCCTCTCAATACATCTCTCGGACTTCCTCTCTCCCAATATTTCCACAACACCCTTGCAGACAACAAAAGGGAGGCAGCGACTGGTTGGGCTATTGGAGCTTGGCAATCTCATCAAAAACTTTGGCCAAGGACCAAGGTCTTCATTGAGGTATTTCTTGTCCTTTTTTCCAGCCTTTCTTTTTTTTTTATTTAACTAGATTAAATGTATGTGTGATTGTTTGTGTGTTGTTTTATTTTGCTGGTTTTGTTGTTATTGTATCGGTGAAATTTTGGGAAGATCATAAACCAGATTTAGGAAAAGGAAATGTTTCTTGTGAATGCATGTTAATTGTTTGAAAAAAGGGAAAATCGTCCAAAACATCCCTCACATTTTGTAAAATGACTTTTTTCGTCCCTCACTTTTAAAAATGTAATTTTATGTCCCTTACATATTCACATCGGTCAAATTTAATCCCTAACTAGGTTCCGATCATTTTTTGGCCGGAATCCATCACGTGCCTTGCACGTGATCATTTTTTAAAGGTAAATTTGTCAAATTATATTTTACATAATCTAATCTATAGTCCTCCACATTTTATAAAATAAATTTTTTCGTCCCTCACATTTTATAAAATGATTTTTTCATCCTTCACATTTCACAAAAAGAATTTCTCCATCCCTCACATTTCAAAAAATGAATATTTCCATCCCTCACTAATTATGTATGTGAGGGAAACCCTAAAAAAAATGTGTGTGAATACATTTTGTTTAACACACAAGTATATGTCTATTTGATTTTGCTTAATAATCCGAATAGCATAAATATATGTATGTGTCTATTTAATTTCAATTAACAATACGAATACCTTATATTATACGTGATCATTTGATTTCATCTGGTATTAGCTAGTAAATAATCTTGCATTCATTGTCAAGTTGGCCAATAAAGCTATTTTCAGTCAAAATACAATAAAAATATGCAAATTAAGGTTCTATTGATAAATATTAGTCATAATCATACAAAAAAGAAGATAGCCCACAAGTTGGACCCAATTACATACATGTGTTTATACTACTATTATTAAACAAAATCAAATAAACATGTTTATGTGTTTAAACAAAAGTATTCACACACATAATAAGTGAGAAATGAGAAATTCATTTTGTGAAATGTGAGGGATGGAGAAATTCATTTTGTGAAATGTGAGGGATGAAAAAAATCATTTGATAAAATGTGAGGAACGAAAAATTTTATTTTATAAAATGTGGAGGATTATAGATGAGATTATGTAAAATATAATTTGACAAATTTACCCTTAAAAAATGATCATGTGCCTTGCACATGATGGATTCTGGCCAAAAATGATCGGAAACCTAGTTAGGGACTAAATTTGTCCGATGTAAATATGTAAGGGATATAAAATTACACTTTTAAAAGTGAGGGACGAAAAAGTTATTTTACAAAATGTAAGGGACGTTTTGGACAATTTTCCCTTGAAAAAATGCCAAATGAAAAAAAAACTGAATTTTGGGACTGTTTTGCCTTAATGTAATCTTTTGTTGTTGTTTTCTTGTTAGCTAAGATTATAGTTGTAAATGTGGAGATTATAAGTGTAGACACACAAATTTTTGATTTTTTAACTTTATTGTTTAATAGATTTATTTGTTTCAATTCTAGGGTTTTTATTTTTATTTTATTTTGTTCTAGTTATATTTATATTTATATTATTTATTTTTTTTTAAATACTAAATTTCAAAAAAAAGAAAAAAAGAGAGAAAAAAAAGTAAATGACAAGTAGAGGGGGCATGCATGGGACAAGTGTCCCTCTTGTATTTTGACAACAAGGCATTTAAGGGGGTTAGGTGTTAAGATTTTTGGTGACGGGAGAAAAAAAAGAAAACTGGAGGGAGCCGATAGTAAGAGGGGCTTGGGGAGCAAAAACAGGAAAAGGGCGAAAAAGCGAGAGGGTTTTAGGGCTGGAAGAAAGGAGGAGATTAACGGCTGGGGGACTGGAAAAGGGGACGGCTGAGAGAAATTAAAAAGGAGGGGAGATTGGTGAAGAAAAGACAGAGGGTAAGGAAAAGAAACAGAAGAGGGGCGGCAGACAGATAGAGCTAAAAAAACTGACTAAGGGAAGGCTAAAGGAAGAGACAGAGGGGCTTGGTGGAAGAAAAAGAAGAACAGGGGCGGAGCAGAGAGCTAACGCGAGAGAGAAAAACAACAACGGAGGAAAAAGGCAGAGGAAAAAGGAAAAAGCAGGGGTGGTGGGCAAGGAAAAACTATCGAACAAAAAGAGAAAAAGAAGGAAAGGAGGGCTTCGGAGACTATGGAAAGAGAGAAAGCTAAAGGAAGGAAGAAAGAGGGCTTCGGCTACGGGAAGGGTTGAACGGATATGGAAAAAACCTAAAAATGGGGAGGAAATTTCAGTTTGAACGATCGAAAAGGAGAGAAATTTCCAATCACCACCGCCGCAATCCAAGCTCTGCCACGGCATCTCCACCTCGTGCGCCACTTAGCTGACTGACGCACCTCCCATTCCCGCGCGGCCCTTCTCCGCCCCAGATCTCCTCTCTTCCTCACGCCGCCCGCCCAAGCCACCATCAGTCCGCATTCGCTGCTGTTGCTGTCTGCCATCGTCACCACCATACACAACCTCCTTGGCCGCTGCCGCTCTCTGCAAATCTAGATGAAAGCTCTCAAACGAAGTCAGACTTCGTCATCTTCCAATTCCAGAATGAAAGAGTCAAGAAGAAAGGGACGCCATTCTGGATACGGTAAGCCACCATCATCCTTCAAATTTCAGTTTTATACAAGCTTTCGAAGCCTATTTTATTTTTCACGTTGTGGCTTGTAGCCATTTCTCTGTTTGAGTTATTCACTAATTGGAAGTATGTATGCTTTGAATGTCGATAGGACTGGAGTTTCTTGTGTTTTGACATAATTTTGGGGCTGAATATAGCTTTAATTGAGTAGAAAATTAGTAAAAACTCTAATGCCCTCAACCTGTTCGACGAAATGCTTGGCTGAAAATTTCTCATTGAAAGAACATTTGGTTGCATTTTTTTTCGTGTGAAAGAGCCAGCTAGTTCAGCAGGTTCATTTCTTTGCGCCTGAAAATTTTTGATGTGTTGATATCTTGCACCTTTTTCTGTTTTTCCGTTCCCTTATGCTTCCCATCGTATGAATTCGAATTAATGATAGGAAAGGGAGTTTTGGTTTCTCGTTGTCTATTACCAAATTCTGGTATGGCTTTGATTGCAAAGAAAGTTGCGATGGCAACTGATGTTGAATCAATTCGGTGGAGAAGATGATCACTTGTCCAAAATTGCAATTTCAGTCCCTTTATTCTCTTTGGCTTTGTGGTTTAATCCAGAGTTGAGAACTTCCTAATTTGATTCCCAGATTTCTATAATTTTTTTCGATTGGGTCCTTATTTGCATTGCATTGGAACCCCTCAAATCCCCTCTTGTTCTGATATGACCCGGAAGATTGGGAGGAGTGAACTTGTTTCTCCCTTTTAGATTTTAATCATCTTTTAATCTGCTTAAGTAGTCTTTCAGCTAGATTAATTCTTGTTTTTAGATCATAATTGTGGCTTGATTATTTTAGTTGATTTGCTAATCTGGTTGGGTTTAGTTTTGATTTAGGTTGTGGGCAATAATATTTGTTTGGATTCGTAAAAGTGGATTTAATTTGTTTTGTTTGGGTTTCTGGTTTGGGCTTAGGAGGTAAAGCCCACTCTTTTGGTTGGGTTTGTTTTATGGGTTAATTCCACTTTGTCCTCCCAAACTTTAGGCGATTATCCACTTAAGTCCCTAAACTTCAAAATGGGATACTTAAATTCCAAAACTTATAAATACCTCCCACTTAAGTTCCTGAACTTATAAAATGGAACACTTAAATCCCTAAATCCTTATAAAATGGGACACTTCGACCACCAACAGCATTCAGGATTTGTTAACAATTTTCCTTAAGTGGGAGGTATTTATAAGTTTAGGGATTTAAGTGTCCCATTTTGAAGTTTAGAGACTTAAGTGGGTAATCGTCCAAAGTTTGGGGGACAAAGTGGAATTAACCCTTGTTTTATTGACTAGGAGATTCGCGCGGTGTGAAATTAATAGGTAGTATGCCCAGTGTAAAGCCCATTATAATAGTTTTTTTAAAAACAAAATAGATAATCCATAATTAGGAGTAATGACTAAAATAAGTTATAAAACTATATTGGCCAAATATGTTGAATCAAGGCCAACTATATTAATCAAGAATACAGTTAAAAAAAAACTTCTATAAATTATTACAAGTTGTATGCATGATTGGATACTAAGTGTTTACTAACTATGGCTCAAGCTTGCATTTCTCAATCTCTTTACAATGCCGAATATCGTTTAAGAGTTTATTTGTCCTCCTCTTCCCAGAGCTTATTCGAATAATCTCCTACTGCCATGTTTTTATCCTGCACAAGAGGTAATGCAATTTTATGTTTAAGCCATATGAATTTTATGTATCATTAAAGATATAATCTAGACAGAGTCATAAATGAACTACTCTGATGGAACTAAAAGGAATATAATATTACAGTATAAATTGAGTTAGAATTGGCCCAGCAAGAAGCAAATAAAAACTACTTTCTCCGCTATAAAATATGCAATTTGCTGGTAGCTATGCTTGATATGCACATGCAATGGTGATGACGTTCTTTATTGCCATGGCGTTGTATGTGTCAAAATCAACTGTAAATTAAGCTCTTGTATGCTGAAACCAAAACTTTACACATTAGACAAAATTAAGAATGACACCATGTAAAAATAGGAACGAAATATGTGATAAGTTTTGAAGCCAAAAATATTGAAATTTGAGAAATAAAAATGAAAGAACTAACATTTCCATGGGAAACAAATATGAAAAAGAAATTATTGATTAAGTAAAGAGGCCAATCGATCTCACAATTATTGATCACTATACCAGGGAAAGATAAATGATAGCAAATAGTAAAATAGTTCATATCCACACTGTTTGTGGTTGCAAAACCATACCTTGCTTCTTGATAAGAATTCATGAGAAAAGTCTTGTAGTAGCCAGCCAACTCAAGCAGTTCATCAACTTTCTCACTTTTCTTCCCAAAATTTCAAAAGCAAATTCAGTAAGCACTATATGATTGATAGCAACAAGTGATTATTCAAAAAACAACGAGTGAAGGAAATGCAAAGGGATTTAGAAATTTGAGGGATGAAAGCAAATGATCCTAAGAGGGTTCAGCACATGCAGTCCTCAACCAAGAGACGTTGAATTTAGGCGAAAACTTGCTATTCATCAAGAATGACAGTAATACCTATACATTATTTGGAAACAAGCGCAATCAAGTCATCCATGTGGTTTCCATCATTTGATAGAAAGGCAATGAGCGGACAGAATGACTTGGAATTCAAGAAAAAATCAAGCTAACAAGAATACTTAAAACCAAGAAAAAATGTAAGCCACCGACCAACTTGATATGAACTATTTAAACTATCAATGAAATAGCAAGTTGAAGTTCCCATGGATTACATCATCTTCATTAAGAAAAGGCATAAGATCATTACATGCAATCTTGGACCAATCAGTAAAGTCAAGATCAACTGAAAGCTTTTAATGCAGAAATTATTAATACAATTCCATAAGGCTTCCACAAATATGCCTTTTTGAAATAGAAACAGGGTTGCAATGTAACAATTCTTAGATCTCGATTAAATTCGGAATTTGTATTATAGGTCCAATTAAAAACAAAAGCAAAAATTTTTTTGGTCGAATAAATTGAGGAATTTGTATCAGTTAAGTTTCTTTAGAAAAAGTAACAAGTAACCGAGGATAGCATAAGGTAAATAAGTACCTATTTAACTCAAATTCTGAACTACATCAATTCAAAAGAAAACCATGACTTGCATTCCGAATCCAAAGCTAGTCCGAGGGTCTTGTAAAGGGTTTGACTTGGCATCTGGACTGTTATATCCTTCAATTTTAGTTTGTAAAGAACCACATTGATCATCTTCCAGTAGCTCAAAGACAATAGTGCCAGGCTAATTGTGATATTTCCATCACCACATACCTCGACTAATTTTTTCACCATAAGGTGTCAGTTTAGATTCTTTATCCACTTCTTCACCTTGAAATCCATAAACAGCCTCCAATGACTTACCCAAAATCCATCAATAGTTGTGCAAAGAATAAACTGCTAAATAAATTTGAAAAAAAAAAAAGAAAGCAAAGAGAGAACAAAAACACTGAAACAATAACTCCTGCACATACCTTGAAGGCTGAAATAAGAAAAGTAGCCTCCTTATTTCGTTCTTCCTTCATCTAACAAAAATTTAGTGTAAACAAGCGTCCGTCAAATGAAGAATATAATTAAAACAACCTCATGGTAATAACATGAGAATGATTCAGAGAAAATTATTGAACTTATTCTCCATATTCTTCAACATTATTAACAGTTGTAAATGAAATATACAACCCACCATTTTTTCCTTGCTTTTTTTTACATTAAAATAAAAGTCTATAGTTACATGAAGCAAGATGATATGTAGATTAATATCACAAGTTTTCCTATCCTTTCTGAGTAAGACCCTTTTGATTTCACAGCCCTTTCAAGAATTCAATATTTTCATTTAATGGTTCACAAACCTTACATGGTTTGAAATTTAACTACTTCAACCATTAACAGCCTAGAATTTAACCCTAAGCATTGAATAAATTATATAGATAGCATGCTTAGCAAAGCAAACATGACATTCTAGTCGTTAATCAAACAATTTTGATCCAAATCCAAGAAAAAAACCCCAAGATGGAATTCCACTCACCTAGACTATATGTCCAAAAAGCGCATTAGCTGGCTGCAAAAAGAAAAAAAATGACAAAATCATTACCAACTAACTAAGAGAGTTTAACAGAAACAGTCAATCCACACCCTCTTACTTTGAATTTTTTACTTATAAAGAGTTATTGGCAATATCAACTGGAAAACAAAAATTTCTATGAACATGAAAAAAAGAAAGAAATTAAACCATTTCATCTAAGGAAATAATCACAAGTTTCAATGCAAAAAAGTGAAAGCATAAAATATTGGATCTTAAGTAAGGATAATTACTGAATGTAGTTGCTTAAAAAGACTGACAACCTCTTAATCATGACTTACACTGGAATTTTAGGAAATACTTCAATAAGAGGTAGATGTCCTCTCCATAGTCCATTTCTTGAACATCTATCAAAGAGGAGTAAAGATAGGAGAAGATTACAGTTGACTTCGGGTAAAACGAAAGAAAAAAAAATAGAAAAACAGAGATCCTAAAAGTATTTACTTGAGCAAAGAATTCCAATCATTCATACTTGGTATCAAATCCCTATTCCTCAACCCGTAGCAAACATATAAAACTTATTAGAGAATAAAATAAAATTTAATCAAGAGAAAAAAGTATACATAGAACAAGAGTGGAGAAGCCAGCAGTTTTCAGAGAGAAAGAAAGGAAGATAAGAACAGAAGGACTTTTCAAATAGAAACTTTGAGTTGGAGAGGATTGAGATATGGAAAATTATTTGATGGGAATTGATTAGTCTTGTAGCATTGAGCCAAACTCCTCTATTGCAGATACAGGAATTTGAGGGAAGGCCTCTGGTTTTGTAACTCCCAGTACTTTAACTCGCCAGCAAAGAGGAAAACAATAACTTTTTGCACAGAAAGGAGATGGGAGAATTTTTTTTTACACAAAAGATAGGAGAGAGATGGCTCTGAGGTCTTTCTGTCAATTTTTCTCATAAAAAATCTGAGGTAAGATGACTCCAAAACACCTCTCCAAAAATAGTTGGATGTGTCAAAGAAGTGATTGTATTCTCAAATTCTAGGAAGAATTGTATGCCATTTATCTCAAAGTAGAGGCATCTTGTCCTCATATTTGAACATAAATGTGTTATATTTAGTACAAATTATCCATCCAGTTAAAACAAATTAGGAGTTCTACCAAATTTTCTTCAAAAGTAACATGCCCTTCCTTTAAGTTCTTTCCTGCATAAAAAACTTCAACATAAATTGAAGGTCTGCATCACATTCACCTTTTTGAACCTATCAATTGGAATACCGTCTTCATGTTTGTCACAAAATTTTCTGTTTAGGCTTATCTCAATTAAGTTCATTTTTACAAGTAAAAAAACTATCATATCAGGTTCAGTTTTCCAGACTTAATCTTACTGAAATGTTACAAATCTAAGAGAAAATAATGTTTTGTAAATATAGACTTAAGTCAACCAAAACTGATTTTCCTAATAAGAATTTCCAAGCTATTAAACATCGTAGTCCATGATTCAAGAGGCAAAACTACAATTATGTAGCAATTTAATTCTTTTTTTGATCAAGGAATAGAAAATTTAAGGTGTTTTATTAAAACAGTAACTTATTATTTCAAGCAGGTGCTTAGAATATAATATTTGAGAATCCTCGTCTTGGACAAACCTTTAACCACCTACAAATAGGAAAACCATTTAGATTGCCATTGTAACAAAAAAATATATTGCTCAAGATACTCAGTTTAATATCCACTTAAGGTTCATAAAACGAATATTCAAGAGGTTTTACCAAGAGACAATTTATGTACTAAAACAAAAAATTTCAACACAAAGCAATCAAAAGAATAGCATCACACGATCTTTTGTAACTCAAAGTTTTGGCCAATGACCAATGTGACCTGGAAGTTCCTGATTCTCAGAGAAGAAATTTATTCATTCTTCAAATGTTGAAAACCCAATGAAGAAAAAGGAATCGGAAGAACTGGAGCAAATAGAAAGACATTTTGAAGATGAAGAAATCTATTTTAAACAAGTGAATCTTTTTGTTACCATATGGATTTCTTTTCTGAGCAAGAGATCAACAAAACACCTGCACGAAAGACACCAAAAAAATGACTAAAAAGAAAACTCAAACGAGGTTTGAAAAGACCAAAGGCCAAAGAAAAGTATACCATCATTTGAGCTCTGAAAAGAGCAATTTAAAGTAAAAATTAAATTAGAATGATAGACAAAGCTTACGTTTTTCCCCTCAGCAGTTGTCTTTCACGGGTGGCCAATTTTCCTCCCTGTTGCAGAAGAAATCCAAGAAAGGCAAAAACGGAAAGAAAAATGGAACAATAAAACACCAAGTAGGTACAAAAAATAAAGTAAATAAATATCTACAAGCCAGCTAATCATCAATTATTCACCATCTCCGACCATATTAAAAGGTTTTTGTTGAAACTAAAAATAAAAATTTAATGATAAAACTGAAACGAAACAAAGACGTTAATCATGGAAAGAAAGGGAAGAAAAATACCATATCTGTATTCTACAAATTCATATAGACAGTGGAGATGAAATATTAACCTTTCACTTCCTCGTTGTTTCAGAAAAGGATAAAAAAAAAAGAAGGGGGAAGAATTGATTGTTTTTAGCCAAGGAAATATCAGGCAAAATGGCAGAGAAATAGAAAAAATCAGCTATAATTACTTGAGGTATGGAGAGAGGGAGATGAAGGAGAACAGGAGGGAGAAATCGACAAAGGGAGGAGAGGAAGATTACCAGTCGCTTTGCATTCTTGAGCCCATCGTCCATCAACTCTGTCAGAAGAAAAAAAATTTGGACCCCAATTGAGATTACAACCTGTTTCAAGTACAATCAAATGCCAGAAATTCAGGGGAGAACTATGGGTCTCACGAAGATGGAATTTTGTCTGGAGGATAACAGCAATACGGATCGGTCTTCAAGAGTTCTTGACCTGACTGATAGTTGTGCGTTTGACTGAGAGAGAGAGAAAAGCGGAAGAAAAAGGATTGAAGATCCATCAGCATACGATGCCGTTTGATTGATCAAAAGTAAAAAGGGCAAAAACCCATAAATCCTCAAACCATATGCAAAAAAAAGTTCCAAAGGTAAAAAGTTCTTCAATATAAAAGACTTCCAAAGGTAATAAGTAGATCAACAATTAATCGCAAAAAAGTTGACAAATAATTGGGATTTATTTGGCAACCAAAAAAAGTGGTAATAATTGCAAAAAGCTAGTAATTAAATGTTATTTGCTAGGCAATAAAAAGTGACAATTCACTTCCAAAAAAAATTATCAATTGATTGCAAAAGTTGGTAATTAGATGTGGTTCATTTAGCAACAGAAAAAAAGTGTTAATAATTGCAAAAGCTAGCAATTAAATGTTATTTATTAGGCAATAGAAAGTGAAATTTAATTAATTAATTAATTAACAATTAATTGCAAAAAATTGATAATTAAATATAATTTGTTGTACAACCCAAAATAAAAGAGGACATTTTTTATGACATTTGAAAAAAAATTTATAATTAAATGCATTTTTTGTGCAACCACAAAAAAAGAAGCCAATTTTTTAATAATTCCAAACAACTGTTATTAAACATGATTTGTTGGGTGACCAAAAACTTGACATTATTAATTAGTTATTAACAATTAATTGCAAAAATTTGGTAATTAGATGTGATTTGTTGGACAGCCAGAAAAAAATTTGATAATTAAAGGTGGTTTTTGGGCAACCACAAAAAAGAAGTCAATTTTTTGCTACTAATTGCAAAAAAATTGTTAATTAAACGTGATTGTTGTATGACAAAAAACAGACATTAAATTTATTAACAATTAATGCAAAAATGGTAATTAGATGTGATTTGATGGACAACAAAAAAAAGGAATCCAAAATTTTTGTTAATGTGATTTGTTGGATAAAAAAGAAAGAAGCAAAATTTTAGCACAATCCTACATGCAATTAGAGGACTACCACTTTTCATCCAATCAAAACTCGCCACATCACCATCTTCATATGCAATTGGGAGGACTACCACCAATCGCGAATCAGAGGATGACAACTCATCAAATTGGAATCAATTGGAGGACTACCACCAATCAACCAATGGGAGAGCGCCACGTCAGCAATTAGGTTCAATTTGGGCAATTGCATTCACACATTTACTATATATGTTAATAAGTAGAGGCCCATATGTAGTCTCTGGGCTTTGCGGCAGGCTGAAGGGATCTTTGGCCCAAAAATAGACAAAAGTTGGCCCAGTGGCCTTGTCACTTAAGAGACCAGAAACGAAATTGCAAATCAGCCCCTGCATTTTTCCTTAACTATACTGTGGCCCTGGAAGCTTTCCATTTCTTTCAATTGGGTCCCTAACTTAATTGCAAATAGGCCTTTAAACTTTATTTTCTTTAACTTTGACCCCAAAGCTTTGTTATTTTTTGCAATCAAGTCCTTTCTTCTTTTGGCTTCTTAGATGTTGGGTTGCCTATATGATTTAATTGATTTAATTTCATGTTTATTTTTATCTTTTGTGATTACTTATTAATTAAAGTGGTGCCTTGACCCTTTCTTTGTTTTTGGAGGGTAAATAAGTAGTTTTTGGAGGGCTCCAATTCAAGGGAGGTACACCCTATCCCTTATTTCTTACTTTATTTGACTCTATGTGCCCTACGTGACTTTACGTGTTTAATTGCATGCTCTTGAATGTTGTTATTTATTTATTCATTTCGCTTATTGGCTTTAGTTTTTATATATTTGAAAGGCAATTTCATGCCAAGATTGTAATAGTTAGGTTAGTATATCATTTTACTTAATTCATTCCCCTTTAGATTGTAGTAGGGCTCCCCAAATGTAATAGTTAGGGCTTTATTTGCTTCATTGAGTATTGTGTGATTTACATGCTTACGTGCTATGTGTTACCGCCTTCTTAGGGTCTTGCATCTAGATATTATGCTCACGTGCTATGTGCTATATGTGGTTTAGGTGTTTACTTGCTTTATCATGTTTTATGTGATTATGAATAAATGAATGACGTCACCACACTAGTCCAACGCTAGTTGTGGTACCTTTTCTCAAATTTCTCACTAGTCCAACGCTAGTTGAGACCCTTTTTTTTCCGATTTCTCGCTAGTCCAATGCTAGTGAGTACTCATAAATAAAGGGTTAGTCCAACGCTAGACCTAATAGGGCCGCCCCTCGTTAGTACATATTCGCATGCCCTCAATACATCCTCATTCATTTTTTTCTTTTTAGTTTTACACTTTTGCATGACCCTTCACTCCCTTTCCCTTGCACATTTAGGATTGCATTTTCATTTAGATTAGCTCATTTGCTGTATAGGTTAGGGAGTTACCCTTTTGGTAAGGGGGATGACGAGTTTGGCTACACATAGCCTTAGCACGCTCATTCTTTTCTAACCAAAAGGAAAATTAAAAGTCACGACTTAGGGTCTCCCCGTACCCATTTTGCATTCCTCTAGGGCTCATACATTTTATTTTGTACATGATCACTTTCCACATTTTCACTTCACACAACTCTTATTTTGCACATTTTCACTTTACCACTTATACTATTACTATCACTTGCACACATGCACTTCATACTATCACTTTACATACCTCACCTTGCACACCCATTTGTACAACTTCCACTCACACACTATTGTCTTTTATTACTTTTTTTTTTTACTTCACAAACTCATGTTTTTCACATTGCATACATTCATTTCACTCATTCTTACATCATTAGCATTATTCGTGACCTCTTGGAGGGCTTATCCTTGACTATCACGACTCATGTGATTAGTTCAATCGAGCCTCTAAGAGATATTTGTCCCATTCGATTCATCACTAGATTTAGGATTGCATCCATGTTAGTTACATCCACATGCGATACATCTTTGGATTAAAAATAAAGAAAATTTTTGACTAAATCGCGCAACTAGCCTTGGCTAGGTTGAAAGGGTGTCTCGGATTCTTATCCTTGCCTTCCCTTTCTTCAAATGTGACTCCCGAATCTTTTTCTCTGATTTTTGTAGACTTGGAATCGTTTAAAAAGGTTTTCTACTTAATTTTCTTTAAAAATTCATTTTTAGGTGACTTGATACACCTTAACTCTATACCAAGTGGCGACTTCATTTTTTCATTCAAAACTCTTTTTAAACTATATTTTGGGTCGAATCGTTGCATTCGCAAGTCCCATTTAGACCCACATGTTTTTTTCATTTTTTCTTTTTAAATCAAAAAATCATTTTGCTAAACTAATTTATTTTTCTTTCAAAAAATGGGCGCCGACAATAAGGAGTGTTTTGGCATAAATTTTATGATTTTTGGGTGAAGATTTGAGTGTTTTAAAAAATAAAAACTGGACTGACTTTTTGCTTTTCGGCCACCTTCGAGTCATCTTTTGTAAAAATTAACTTCGGAAATGGAACCTACGGGAAAAATGGAGTGGGGAGGTGCATTTTGAGAAATTTTGGTAACCGGAGAGGACGCCGGCGGTGGCGGTCTGGTGGCAGCGGCGCCACCGGTGGCCAACTGAAGTGAGCTTCGGATGGCCAGAGGAGAAGAAGAAACGAATGGGGAAGAAAGAAAGAAAGGAAAGAAAGAAAAGAAGAAGAAAAAAGGAAAAGAATTGGGTTAATTTTTTAGTAGGCTTGAGTTTATTTTTTTGGTTGGATTTTGGGAATGGATCCTTGTTTATTTCTTTTGGGTTTCGGTGGGTTAGGAGGTTGGAACCCATGTTTTTTTGGTCGGTCTTGAGTGATAACAAGACGGGCTGGCATGTGTGTTTTGGTTTGGACTTTCGGTTGGGTTTAGGCAGTTTTCGGCCCGAAGAAATAAATAATGGCCCAATAGCCTATTTTCTTAAGAAGATCTGATTACGATTTGCACTTTGGCCCTTGATCTTTGGAGCAGTTTTATTGTGGCCCAAAACATTTTAAATTCCTTTCACCTAGGTCCTTAAATTAATTGCACTTTAGTCCCTGAATTTTATCTTTCATTTAATTTCGACCTCTGAACTTTGGAAAATATAATTTTTTTCCCCAAAAGTTTTTCAAATTTTACAATTCAGTCCCTGATGAATTTTGACTCTCTTTATTATGATTGCTTCTTTTCTTTAATAGCTGATTATGTTACTTTTGAGTATGTTTAACTTGTAATTTTTAGATATTCTTAAATTTATTTACGTTTGACATATTAAGGTGAATTTTCATTATAATTATTACTTTTTCAATTAAATTGGTGCCATGATTCTTTTGTTCATTTTGAATATAAATAGGGCAATTTGACTCCGTTTAGTCACCACTTCAAAAGGGAGGTACCCCATTATTATTATTTCAATGTCAATTATGTGTTCTTATGTGCTCCTACGTGTTCCTATGTGTTTATATATTTTCATATGTTTTGTTTATTTGATTTACATGTTCATTCGAATTTTCTTATATTTGTTTAGTTAATTCTTATAATTATTCGAGAGGCATTTAATTACCTCATAAATGTAATAGATAGGATAATTAGATTTGTTTTTATTATATTTTTCCTTTTTAGATTGTAGTTAAGTCCCCTGTTGTAATAGATAGGGTAGATAGGATTTTCTTTATTTTTCCATTTTAGATTGTAGTTAGGCTCCCCGATGTAATAGATAGGTTGTGTGTTTATGTGGCTTACGTGTTATATGTTTTACCCGCTTTCCTTAGGATTTTTGCCTCTAGATATTGTGTTTACGTGTTATGTGCTACGTGTTCTTATGTGTTTATTCGTTTTAATTTATGCTTTATTTGTTTTACTATGTATTATTAATACATGACGTCACCACACTAGTCCAACGCTAGTTGTGGCTTCTCCTCTATTTACTTGCTAGTCCAACGCTAGTAAGAATTTTTAGAAATGGGCTAGTCCAATGCTAGACCCTTTAGGCCGTCCTGCGCTAGATTCAT